ATCACTTGCTATTTGCACCTTTTTCTGCCTTTACCAGTGTGGTTTTGTAATAACTGAATCTCCTTATACCTCTTCAAAAACTTAGAAATGCCACCTTTGGTTAAGTTTCCACCAATTTTTCTTCTAATTTCTTTATAACTGTAGCCTTGTTCACTTAATAATACTATTTTACATTGTTTTCTGGGCGCCCAATCAACTCTTTGCAACATTACTTTAATTTTATTACGTTTTGCAAGCTCACTAAATGAAACAACACAAAATAACCCAACCAACTTGATAGCAATCATATAACACACTGACAAATGTCCTCCTCTCAACTTCGGTACATGACATCAATAACTGAATCCTGTGATCTGATTGGCTCATTGCCAAAACAAGGTGACACCTGATTGGCTCTCAATTCTAAAAGCAACACTCATGCTCATTGGCTACGATCAGATGAAGGAAAGCTACCTGATATCAACCTAACAAGTTGTGCTTCCTTTTTCTGATTATTTGGCTGTAACTTTTCATAGAATACAGATAATTGAACAAACTTTGTTGCATTACTTTCGTGATTAAATTATCTTTCCATTGAAATTTTATGGTACTACTCCAAAAAAAGTGGTGTTATTAGCCATATCAAACCTTAAAAATACACTTTTTCCAAAAGGTTTCCACAATTTTGGCCACTAATGTATGTAACTTTTGTTTAAAGACAACTTATTTAATATATATTTCAGCATAAAAATGCAAAAATATGATGCCAAATGGACCACCCAAAAATCATTTGTTTAAAGTATGAGAGCTGAAACAAGGAGGAAGAAGAAAACAAAAAGGCATCTTGTTCAACCATGGCTGGGAACACGCATGTTGGGTGACTCAAATTTTTCACCACTCTCCACAAATCTGAAAATTGGGGAGGGGGGGGGTTAGAAATAATTTTTAGCAAGGGGGCAAATGGGCAAATATGGAATCTATCATTAATTAGTTAATTAATAACCAGCATTAACCTTATATTTTAATCAGTTCAACATTATAGCATGCTAGTAGTTAAAAGCAAATAAATTATCCACACAGGGCTTAATATTATTAGCTATTTTTAGGAGGAAGTACAGCTGTGAAATTTTTTTTTTTCTCATGGCTGTGGTTTTCTTTACTTTGAAATACTTATGACACTTGATTAAAACAATTTGAATTATGTTCCATTTAATTGAAAATAAAGGTATATATGAATGCATGACAATATAGAGAAACCCAATTTGCAACAATTGCACATAATGTAGCTTTATACTTATTCCAAAGTAGCTATTTAAATAGCAAATTTGCTTAACTCTTAATTTCCCCTTTATCTTCCACAGTTATTTGGCTACTGGGCTTCTTCCATGGATTTTTAAAAAATTTAACCATATAAGCTGTCAAATTGATTTGGATTTACATGCTATAACTATATTAATCTCTGAAAGATGGCAACTGGTAAGTTAAATAATGTCAGTTAGGCCCCAACAGCACATCAGAACTGTTCTTACTGACTTCCTGATATAACTGCAGAGACTACAAATTAAAGACAAGCCATCAATAGATGAACAATTAACAATATTTTTCCCACAACAACCATCCTGTGAAGTGGGTTGGGCTGAGAAAGTATGCCTGGTCCAAGTCAACCAGACAGCTTTGATGCCGGAACTAGAACCAATGCCGGAACTAGAACCAATGTTCTCATGATTTCTAGATCAGCACCTTAACCCTCAAAAATCTTCAATATCATGATTAGTTTCATTCTTTTTTTTTTTGCAAAAAAATATTTGGGGCAATTTAAAGGTAATGTTTTCCTCCACAAAATACTTAATATATTCATCAGAGCTATACAGCTCTTTTTGACCTAACTACAAAACCCCCTCAAGAGAATACAAATGTTACGTTATCCAAAATTTCTGGCTTATGGCAATAAATTACACATAAAGAAAGATGATGGAAGGAAGTTTATTTATTACATTTATATGTTGTACATCTCACTATTCAAATCAAGTCTGAGTGGCACATAAATACTAAAGTTGTTAACAAAATATAGCTATTCATAATATATAATATAATATATAATATAGCTATTCATCAATTTTTGAAAATCAACTATATTTTTTCCTGATATCTCCAAGTTATAAATGATTATATATAGTGTTCTAGGTATAACATTAAGGTATAAATACAGAAGCAATACAAACATGAACAAAACCACAATAAGTAATCCTACAAGGATTATTTAGAATTTGAATACCTTACTTAGAGCTGAATAATACATTCCAAGAGACCAAAATGCATTCAACTATACATTGGAATTTTACACAAAATAAAGTTTTCAAAAATTTGTGCTCAACATTATTATTTACATTGTTATTATATTGGCTAACCATGCAAATATACAACTGTGGTTTTCAGTTTTATACCTCTACAAATATTCAGATATAAAAAAACATAAGTAATGCAGTCAGAAATTAAATTCATTTGTTTCTTCTAATCCACATATATCTTTATTCACATAGATTTTCATTCATGTGTAACTACTCAGCGTTACACAGAATCTAAAGGATCTTTTTGTCTTTCTATGTGTAGGTCTGAGCCACATCATAAAATAATGATGACATCGTGTAACAGATACAGATATGTCTACAGAGAATCTCAATTATCCAGGTCATGGTTGTCATAAAGGTGCTTTTCAAAAGGCAACTGAAAAACACCTTTGTGATAGATACAGATATGCAAAATATAAGTGCATAGCAAAACAAAGTTGACCCATTTTTTAAAATAGTAGCCATGCAAACTACTTTTCAGTTGTGTTTCAGTACTCTAGAATTCTGACATTTAGTCCTTTCATACATACTTCCTCTCTAATATGCATTCATACATGCTTACATGTCCAATTCATACATCATGCTAAATCACAACTTGTCTTACTATGGTTTATTTAATAATTTGTAATGGCTGGATTCAAATAGCATGCTTGTTGTTGTTCAGTCACTAAGTCATATATGACTCTTTGAGATCCCATAGACTACAGCACACCATAGCGCCGCCCCCTCTCCCTGTCCTCCACTATCTCCTGGAATCTGTCCACTGCATCATTGACACTATCCAACCATCCCATCCTCAATAACATGCTCAGTCAAAATCAAATAAACTATATTATGGTGTAATATACTGCATAAATCCAACGATCACAAGACATTAAAAGCACAATTATTTAATTACACAACTCATCACTCACTCATGTAGTAGAATGCATTTATATGAGCATAGCCAATTATGATTTAAACAATGATAAAGTGATTCTGTATAATGTATAAGCAATCATTTGGACAAAACACCTCTGTACAGTATTACATCATAATATTAAGTAATCAGAACGTAACAACTAGAGGAAACATGGGAGACCACATAGTCCAGCCCAATATAGGAATCAATTTCTACAGCATTTGCTGCAAGAACTTTCAAGTCAGAAAGCTGCAGTAGTAAAACAGATTATTACTGTAACACAGGGCTAGGAAAGACTGAGTTCTGGTCTATCATCTGTCAGTCAAAATGTTCTGTTAATATGCAATTTTCTATCTTATTTAGCTAGCTTACAAAGGACAAAAGACTTCTATAATATATTGCATTTGTAAGTTTCAGTAAAACTGTATGCAACTAAAAATAATGTTTAGTAAACTGTTCATTATTTAATTTTTAACAGTACTCTAAAGATTAAACATTAATGGTTTAATAACAGCTAAATTAAAATATTATAAACTAAGCTTGAAATAAATATTTTAAGATATCAGGATGGAATTGCACATGCAAATATTTGCTCCTCTCTTTGAACAAATAATGACATATCATCCTTAAATTTATTTCAACATCTTGATCTCCTGTCAGTTAACCAAAGAAAGAGGAAGAAGGTAAATGAAGCTTTTTCTCATTCCAACACACCCTCCTCTAAGGTGCTCAGGATCTAAAAGCACCATACCCAACCTAATCACCTGAAAGAAAGAGCACAACTATGACACTCCCATTTTAAGTATGTTCAGAAATATTCTAAGGTCAGGTGTGGACACAAAAAGACTGAGGGTCACTGCCTTCCAATTCTTAAAAACTTAGAATTACAGGTACTCCACTGGATCAAATAATTCTACATTTTGTTTCAAAGATTATCTACATTTTGTTTTGTTTCAAAGATCACCTATGAGAAAATCAAGAGGAGGACAAGAGTGTAATAATCCATTTCTTGCCATTGTTCCACAGGAACAGATATGGAGAGGAATGTTCTTCCTGATACCTCCAACTACCAGGGGTTCTTACTCTTCCTAAGAAATCTGATAACAAAGAGCAGAGCAGGAAGAAACAAGAGACGCTTACCTGCGATCGCCCTCTAGATAAAAAGGCAGGCCTATTCCCCAATCGAAAAGGGCAGGTAAGCGACACGAAGCAGCGGGCGGCTCTTCCTTACAGTACCATTACAATAGCGCTCATTTGCCCGCCAGCTACAACTACTCTGCGCCACCTGCTTCCGGGGACAAGGGAGAAAGAACCTAACCCGCCCAACCGGCCTCGTTCGGGACCATCTTTGCCCCAAGCCCTTATCAGACGAGCAGCCTCCAAAGGCAACAAAGGTTTTCTGTTTGCTTCCGGAGATTAAAAAAACGAGAAAAGAGGCACTCAAGTTTATGAACAGCTCCTTATAAGTAGGAACTAACCATTCGTCCCTACACGGTCTGTGGTAAAATGCGCCAAAAACTACACCAGCCCGAGCCTTTCAATTCCGAGAGGAGGGAGCAGCCGCGAGACGGGCCGGCTGAGGACTCCCGCAGACACCCCCGTTTTCTCGCCCACCTGCCCGCCCTCAAGGGAAAAGTAGCGACAGCCCCCTCCCTCTGCAGCGGGCCCACAACTCCACTTCCTCCCGGGAGAGGCAGACTCCGGGAAACCCAGCCTCCGGGCCTGAATATTGCTTAGTGTATGTGTTGTTTGGGGTTTTTTTTTTCCCCTACCCGAAGAGGAAGCTGCGATCCCCCTGCCCTTCCTGCGCGCCAGCCAGGTCTCCGCTCCTCCAGGAAGAACCCGCAGCCACCACGCCGCTCAGACTCACCGGACGGGAGCCAAGCTTCTCGCTACCGGCCTGACCGCTTGGGGCAGGGCGCGGCCTCCTATAATGGCGGGGAGGGCCCACCGGGCGGCCAAGGGAGTAAGCGGAATCGCCGCGCGTGGTCACAGCTCGGGAGAGGAAGAGGCGGAGCCGGGCAGGCGGCTTCAAGCGCTGAGCTCGACGCCACCGATAGACAGAAAGAAGGAAGGAGGGAGAGGGGAGGCGTGTGAGTCGCGACGCAGCGCAGTTACTGAGACTTAGCGGTTCTATTGTTGCATGGAGGGACGGCGGTGTTACTGCACTTCCCACAAGGTATCTGTAAAGACTATTGGCGTGAAAGAAAATTATTGGGTAAGCTGCACAAATAGACGGAGAACGTCGAGGAGATGCTGAGATCATATGATCAAGAATGCAAAGTTTCTTCTGTTCGTTCGGTGTGTTAATCTACTGTTTGTATGTAGTTTTAATTTCTGAATTCTTTGTCTTCTGTCGTTTTGAAGTTAGTTTTATTATGGATTATAAAAATATTTCGTGTATAATTATTGCTCAAGAGATTTTATTGGTATGTATTTATTTCTACTTCTATGTCTTTCTTTCCAGAGCCAGCCAAGTTGTAACAAATATAAAAAATTCAGAAATTTAAAAATATCAATATCAAAATTAAAAACAAAATGCATTTTACAACACAGAACATAAACAAGTAATCTAGAAGACATGGCTGTATTATCCAATTACTTTCCAAAATGTATGCTTATTTTTAAAAATGATTTTGAAACGGCAATTTAATTTTAAAAAAAACGTATTGCTACTGAAATGTGGCATCTCAAACAAAAAGTTAAAAGCCCAATTATTTTTCTCAGCTAAATTATGATTTCTTTCCTCTTGCACTGGAATTATTCTAGAAGGCTTCTGACTGAATCACCCAATTTTTAGTAAATTTCTTTTTGTTTTATATAGTTGGCGATATGCCAATTTAACCCAAAATATTAGAATGGTAAGCATCAGATTTAACAGTGTGGCTATCACTGACAATAATCAGATTTTTTGTAGGTATAAAATATTGCTTCAAAATGAATACAGGTACTCAACTTACGACCACAATTGAGCCCAAAATTTCTGTTGCTAAGCAAGCCAGTTAAGTGAGTTTCATCCCATTTTATGATCTTTTTGCCATGGTCATTAAGTGAATCACTGTAGTTAAGTGAATCATATGGTCATTAAGTGAATCTGGCTTCCTCCATTGACTTTGCTTGTCGGAAGCAGGCCGGGAAGGTTACAAGTAATGATCACATGGATTCCCCTCCTCCCACAGTGCAGCTGTTATAAATACATGCCAGTTGTCAAGCCCCCAAATTCAGGTCATGTGACCATGTGAATACTGCAATGGTTGTAAGTGTGAAAAGTAGTCATAAGTCACTTTTCAGTACTGTTGTAACTTTGAGCAATAACCAAATAAATGGTTGTAAGTTAAGGACTATAAATAAGGACTATAAATATCAATGTATTAATTTCTAAATATATACTAACTTATCACCATTAGTGGCTGTGTAAACTGAAATGAATAATAAAGCACAGATAAAAAACCTGGAAATGAATCATCAAATGAAAAGAGAAATAACCAGCAGGCCAAGCCAAAACAAAAGAAATGTTTAGTGAAAAAAACAGTCACCTAAAATCTCATCCCCCATGTTAACTTTTATTGGATCATCCATAAAAATAACATGTCCATCCCCAATACTGTAGATAATCCAAAAGTTGATTGTTATGAAAAAACATTCAGCATTGCTAACAGTTATAAAAGTCTTTGCCTCTTCCTGCTTTTGAGAATTTAAACCAAGTAGCACCTTCATGCTTTTTCCTCTTTCATTCCATAGAAGAATTTTAAGTTTATGAAATAATAACATAATTTAGATGTCAAGCAGCTGTCTAGACCTGATGTCTCTGGTCTGGTACTTTCTGCCTATTTTTCCTCCTAACTGCAGTTTAAAATACATAGATTAATGTTTTGAGCACAGAACAGCAAAATCCCCAATCCATTAGAGTACCTAACCTCACCTTTTGTAAGGACCCAATATTGTGAAATGCTAGATCTGTGGCTCTGAGTACAACCACTATCTTTGTTATTCCCCTATACCTCTGAGTGGAATGGATATTATGAGGTAAAGAAATGTGTATGTTGCCATTTACCAAAGTAACATGGTAAATTGTTGGGAGATAATTTGCCTAGTGCTAAGTTAGTCATTCTTAATTACATCACCACAAGCAAAACTTTTCTTTTGAGTCAAATGGGTTTAGCCAGTTCCTTTAAAAGTATGTGGTTTTATTAGAAATATGTCTGCAGGGTTTAATAATGAACAGTTTTTGTGTCAATATAAAAGAAATGTGAACAAAACTGAATTCTCTATGAAACTGAGGTTGTACATATGCCTTTCCCTAATTATTGTGCATGCCAACTCTAAAAAAGAAGCATAAGAACTTACAATATTGATATACTGGCAGAGTGCCTATGAACAGTCTAAATGTTGTACAGAAGAATTATTTATAATTGTATATTTACAATTAGAGGAAGATTTATTTTCCTGTAAATACAAGTTGTTATATTTATTTCCAGTAAATTTCAGCCAATAAAATCCTAAAAGATTTTGGATTTATGAGCAGATTTACAGCTGATGTTTCATTAAACGCCTCAACTTCTTATAAGTAGTTAATTCAGTGACAAAAAAAACCCCACTCCAAGCAAATACAGAGCATTGTTCAAATGGAACTTGAAGTAATGCAGTAGCTGTAGCTCTGCCTCAGTTATCACATAGCATGTTGTACAGAGAACAAAAGACCCAATGTTCAAGCAATTTGTTATTCAGTGATGAAAGATACCACATGACAAGTTTTTAAAAAACTAATGTTTTAGAGGGAACTCATTTTAGACAGATCTAGTACATATGAAAAGCAATTAAATTACAGAAATTTAGATTGAAAACTGAAGTATTTGCAAGAACATTTGAAGACATATACTCTTCTGCATAAAAATTTATAAATATTCAGTATTTTTTATAATTCTTACAAATGGCACATGCTAGCAGTATCTCTAGTGATGGACAGTAAATTGAGAACATTTGAAATTGGTCAATTTTTCCACCAATATAGCAAGTTTCTATTTCTCTGCATTTTCAAAGCTAATGGTTTAGCATTTTTTTCAATGCTTGAAAAAGATAAGGTAATGGTAAAGGTTCCCCTCGCATATACGTGCTAGTCATTTCCAGCTCCAGGGAGCGGTGCTCATCTTCATAACAAAGCCAAAGAACCCGCGCAGTTTGAAGACATCTCCATGGTCATGTGGCCGGCATGACTAAACGCCGGAGGCGCATGGAATGCTGCTACCTTCCCACCAATGTGGCCCCTATTTTTCTATTTGCATTTTTACATGCTTTCGAACTGCTAGGTTGGCAGAAACTGGGACAAGTCACTCCGTTACATGGTGCTAGGGATTCAAACCACTGAACTGCCACACGTCTTAGCCACTGAGCGTCCCTTTGAAAAAGATACTCCTATCTATATTCACAGACATTAGAACTATGACACTCTATGGAAGCAAATGCAAGACTTTGAAGAAGCAGGATAACAAGACTTTGAATATGGCATTGGACAACATTCTTCAAAAATGAAGTAGTCCTCGACTTACAACCACAACTGAACCCCATATTTCTGTTGCTCAGTGAGACACTTAAGTGTGTTTTACCCCATTTTATGACCTTCCTTGCCACAATTGTTAAGTGAATCACTGCAGTTATTAAGTTAGTAACACCAGTAAGCCAGTAAACCGGGCTTCCCTACTGATTTTACATGTCAGAAGGTCAGAAAAGGTGATCATGTGGAACATTGCAACCTTCATGATTATGAGTCAATTGAGAAGCATTTGAATTTTGATCAGGAAACCATGGGATGCCGCAACAGTTGCAAATGTGAAAAACAATCAAAATCACTTTTTGCAGTGACCTTGTAAGTTTGAACAGTCACTAAACAAACTGTTGTAAGTCAAGGACTACCTGAACAGCCAAGGAAACAAATGAATAGATCATAGAACAAATCAGCCAGGCTCAAACGACCACGCCTAAATTATATTTTGGTCATATTAATTGAATTGTCCATAAAGTTGGGAAAAGTGGAAGCAAAGAGGATAACTTTATTACAATAGTGATGAATGAGCTATTGAGAGACCCAAAAGGCCAAGTTGGGAATAACTCATCATGAAAAAGGGCAAGTTATGTGTCACCAAGTATCAATCCTAGCTTTTGGTACATGATCTAGCTTGCTCTTTTCTTATCTCTAGTTTGGACAGTTTGACAGCCTTTCCATGATTTCAATAATAAAAGCTTGTTTAATGTCGCATTGAACAATGAATGGGCCCATATCTGCATAAAGCTGAAAGGATAAAACAAGAACATAGTCCTGTGGTAATAAGTGTTATTGCACAAACCAAGGGAAGATGATGTTTGAGTCCAACTGGTACCTGCAGTTCCAATTCTTTACTTAGCTATAAAAAAAATTTGCAAATTAGAAGATCAGTAAGATAACTTTTGTTCAAAACATGTAACTTTTATCACATTTATTTTGAAGCATACCTGAACAACTACTTATGTTTAACTTAAACATTTTAATCTAACAATAATTTCCCATTTTCCATTTTTCAAGAGTTCCTTGCAATAATTTCTCTTATGGTATAAATTTGTATAAAACTATTCAGATACCGTTGGCATTGAACTTTATTCTTAAATATGAATGGCTCTACCAGTATTAAGAATTCTGCTCCACAGCAGTAGAATAATGTAGAAGTGTGATTGGATGAAAATATTTATCTTTTTATTTATGGAAGTTATGTTTAATACTTTAAACAATGTTTCATATTTAAGACTGTTTTCATTAGCACTGATGTTATCTACCATGGTCAATTAGTGAAACACCTACTGAATGAATAAAATTTAATAATTTTAGCAAAATTTAGACGTATAAGCAACTTTTTTTTAATCAGCTAGAACTATGCATCGAATGGGACTAGAATAAAATAAACATTTCAAAATAGTTATAGAAGTATATATTTGAAGAAAAACTAAAGCATAGAAGAAATATGAATGTACCATTTTGTATTTCATGTTCTTCCAATGACATACAGCTAGATTATTCTGGGAACATGGAGCTTCTGTTTCAGTTTCTTTCAGACAGTTCACTGAAAAAACAGCTAAGAGAAGCAAAAACAAAAGATAGTTTAAATGCAGCACTCAGAATAGATTATTTTTTAAGGCTGTAAGCATTACTTTACGAAGGTATCTCCCTAATGCTTCCTTTATTATGTAACATTTTCTCCCCAAGTTTTTATGAATCAACACTGCTGGTTTTAAATTCCTTTTCAATAATGATCACGTACATTTTTGGCAATGGATCATTATTTCTGGACTCTGCAAGACAACAGGGATTTTTCCATTACTTTCTGACGGTCGGTAATACCGGCAGTGCAGTGGTAATAACGCTTTAAAACAGGTAATACACTCAGGATCAGGTTTCATATAAACGAGGACAGAAGAATCAGTTGCTAAATATTCAGGAACTTCCAAATCTACTTCATCTGCAATCACCAGTGCCTATGGAAAAAGAACAGATATATAATGAAAATGAATAATTTATAGTAATAATAAGTAATTTATATTAGAATCCTATTTAGGGAATAGTACCATACTGAAAAGTCTCAAAGTCAACCCTATTATTCCTATACAGATAATCTTCAAATTATGACCCACTATTGAACCCAAAATTTCCATTGCAAGGCAGTTGCCCCATTTTAGGATCATTTTTGCCATAGTTAAGTGAATCATGTGGTCATTAAGCAAATGTGACTTCCCCCCCATTAGTTTTGCTTGTTGGAAGGCAGCCGAGGTGGTTAAAAATGATGATCATCTGTAGTCATAAATACAAGTGAATTGCTAAGTGCCCAAATTCTGATCAAGTGAATATGGGGATGCTGCTATGGATAAATGTGAAAAATGGTCATATGTCACTTTTTTTCAGTACCTTTGTAACTTCAAACAGTCAATAAACAAATGGTTGTATGTTGAGGATTGTCTGTATAAACATCAGTGTTTTTATTTCATCCTCTCCTTAATACAGGTAGTCCTCAACTTACAATCACAATTGAGCACACAATTTCTATTGCTAAGTGAGATAGTTGTTGAGTGAGTTTTGCCCCATTTTATGACCTTTCTTGCCCCAGTTAAGTGAATCACTGCAGTTGTTCAATTAGTAACACAGATGTTATATGAATCTAGTTTTCCCCATTAACTTTGTTTACCAGGTTGCAACATGTAATCACATGACCCAAGGTAACTGCAACTGTCATAACTGTCAGTTGCCAAGTGCTTGAATTTTTATCATATGATCATGGAGATTCTGTTACAATCATGTGAAAATCAGTAATGAGTCCCTTTTTTTCAGTGCCATTGTGCCATTGTAACTTCGAACAGTCACTAAAAAACTGTTATAAATCAAGGATTACTTGAATAGTTGTGATGATGTTTTGTTATAAGCAATAAAATCAATAAAATTGATACCAGGATTGCATCCAATTGCTGAATTACTGCAAATCCTTAATAGTAACAGTAGCTGGTATGAACTTTGATTAAATTCCAAATCCTCAATTCATTATCAAAATGACAAAGTACTACTTTGAAACTACTTTCACTTTCAGAAATCTTTAGGCATAGAAAATGGAGGAGATATTTGAGAATCACTACTGCCTGATGCTTTAATCCCAGTTCCAATAATACCAAACAAGAATTATTACTATTAAGATATAGGTACTCTACCTCTTTTTAGATGAATTTTTTTTCTTCTCAAAAGTGTCAGGATATAGATCTTTCAGACATTAATTTTATGCATTTCTGATTTCAGTTTTTGATCAATTCTGTTTCTGTTAAAAACCATACTCTAAATGCTTAAATTTTCTGTGCTGCTTAAACTGTAACACGTATAGAAGCCATTCCCTTACAAATTTGGTCCAGAGAATGAAAAAGACCTGTTAATTTTGCCATTACTGCACATTCTCTAAGGTTAAATTCCCAGCCTTGTACCATTGGTAATATATCTCTTTTCCTGTTGTGTTAAGTTTGTCCTTGAATGTGTATCTCAGTAAATTGTGATTCCCACCCCCCCTTTTTTTTTAATCTCTTAGTTTTCTTTTAAATTATAACATGGGGTAATTTTACATATTTGTTCTATAGTTCTTCCCATTGTTGCATTGTGACTTGTTTCTTTGAATTTTGCATCTATTTTATCATCCTAACAAAACAGATTTTACATAAAATCAAGATCTCTCTTGATTTCTGTAACATAATTTGATGTATTTCTCGATCAATGCCTTTCTTATGTAATTTTTATTCTCTCTCCTTTTTTATGGAATTAACAAAATAGTGGGACCTGTACAGTTGGTCCAGAGAGTGAAAAAGACCTTTAAAATTCATTTTTTCTTACTAAAAATAATTTTTTTAAAAATACATTTTCTTGAGTTAATTTTTCATCAGTGACATAGATAGTGCTAATTGTACATCTTTTATAAATTGTTTGCCCGCTTTTTGACATATTTTTGCATCAGTTATTTTTTGCTTGCTTTTTCTTTTTAAAAAATTATTAAAAGTAATTTTAAAATGCCCATTTAACTATATTGTTTTTTACTTGTTGAGACTTTACCTTCAGTATATTTTCAAATATATAATTGAATTCTTCCTAATCTGACTTTTTCTGATAAAGCTATCCAACGTACTACATTGTTGATAAACATGATGGGTAAAGGAACCACAAAATAATATAAAATATTTTTATGCATTAGAAAAAAAGAATGTAAAAAGAAAAGAGTGCTGAAAATGTATTTTTCCCAAAACTTCATAAAAAGCATAAAAAAATAACATTTTGTTCTACCTTTCAACATTTCCATAAATATTATCATACCTCAGTGAGATTATGCTGTTGTAAAGATTTCAATTCATAGGGATCCACATATAATCCTCTTGGAAGATGTACTTTAACTGCCAGCCTGCAGCTTTCAAGATCTTTATCAACTATACCCAAATCTACCCTAATCAAGAGATCTCTACCGTAAAGAAGAAAACAGAGAAAAATAATTTTAATAGATTTATGGAGAATACAAAGCATCTCCAAACATACCAGTTATATATCTCTGTATAAAGAGTTTTAAATATTGCAAATGTGCAATTGTAAATTTAATCAGGTTTTTTTCTAAAAAATAATAATGGTATGTATTGTTTTAATGTAAACAGCCTCAAGTCACCTTTGGCTAGATGGGTGACATATAAGTTTAATAACTTTAATAATTTAGAGATAACACTAAACCTCACTGAAATTTAATGAATTCACTTCTTCATAACAATGCTTAAACAAAGCTTTCATTTATTATTGTCTAAACTCACATCACAGAATTTAATGTAAATGATTGGACCTAAAGCTGAGATTGTTGCAGCCCAATTAATTTCGCATTACTTTAATGTAACTACTACATAACTAACATGTAGACTGAGCTCCATACATATCCATTCAACTAAGCAGAATGAATTTAAATATTACCAATTAATTCACCTCATTCCATACGTGCCAGAAATATTTCAACAACATTCAGTTGCTCATTTAACTGTTTATTAAAAGTACACATGCTCTTCCACCCAAAACCATGCTTAGATAACAAAAGAAAAATTCCTCAGAATTTTAAGCATACAGGTTTAAAATGTAATTGAATTCATAGAATTAAAATATTAAAAATTAATTCAAAGAAACTGTTCCCAATCATGTAAAAGCTGTTTTAACAGCCAAGTAAGTTGTGTGTCCCATCTCCGGTAAAAAAAACTAATAAAAATGTATTTGCTTATCAGATATAATTAGAAAAGTGATGGATTCCAGCGTTACTGAAACATTGTTAAAAGACACTGATCAATATCTAATTATCATAACTGACCTATGAAAGCCATATTTCAAAAGCTGTTGCGAGATCTCAGGACATGTGTTCTGTGCATCTATTAAAACCAGAAATTAAAACCAGAAATGCCTTTACTGTTTTTAACAATAGATGATCATTTGTAAACAACATAATACAGAATTATAACACTTTCAAAATTTCAATATTCTTGTCCTTAATCCAGAACAGAAATTAAATTATTGATATTGTGATAAATATAAAAAGACTTATTTCTTGAAACATGGCACACAAGAATCCTTTAACTTAGTGGTTGCAAACTGTTTTAGTCCATCCTACTGTAGAATGCAAAAATATTGTGTCCCCAAATTTCCAGCGGCCCCAACTTCCAATATAAATTAGAAGCTTTCTGGCTGCATTGTCACATACTTCCCACAAGAAGATAAGCTTTGCTCCATTCCTTTCAATATTGTATAAGGCTGCCACAGAACAGGAGACATACTTAGAGGGCTCCATTGTTGAGGTAGCTATTCTTATTCAAATTGTAACTTACATAAAAATTCAAGCATTATACATAGACTAACAAATTTCAGAAAGAAGAGAATATCCCAGTTAAAAGAACACATTTTTCTTCTACTGGCACATTTCAAATTAAACCTGCAAGACAAAAAAAATCACATTATAACAAATGTACAGAATATTTTTATAGTAGATTATTTTGTTACATAACTATGCAAATGACAATAATAAAATTTCTATAGCTCTTCCTGTCTACTGGCCTTATAAAGCTTCAAAAATGTCCAGTACAGGATTTTAAAGTTATAAACTGCTTGTGTGCATCTCAGCATACATACATTTATGGCATCTCAGACTATATATGAAACCATTTCTTATGTATAAATACATCACAATTCAATCATGTGCTCTTCATTTGTATATATGCAATAAAAATGCTTTTGAATTTGGAGACTTTGACTTGTATCTCAAAAACGCTGATACAACTCTTATGTTTGAGCAGTATAAAATCCATTTAAATCAAAAGTTGCTTTATACAAAATAAACCTATTCTGCTAAGGACATTTTTATCAATAAAATAGATTTGTCATAAAAGTTGGTTGTGTCTAATCAACACTAACTGTATCTGAAAAATCAAAAATGTGGGTAATACATGGAACAAGGCTTAGATAGTACTTGGATGAGAAAATACCAAGGATCCCAGACTGTAGACTATGCCAGAAGTTTTTTAAAAATCCCAAAAGACAATGATAACCCATCTACACACAGTCCATCACGTGTGAGTTGAGTGGCCATATAAATCTTAATAAATATTGCTGCCAAAACACTATAGACATGTCCATATTACCAGAAGGCAAACTCAACTCAAGGTGAGCTTTTACTAGTACATATTTTCCAAAGGAAGAATGGCCATGCATCCTTCCATAGATTATTTTCCCAACTATTTATATGCACATCAAATAATCAAACTGAAACTATCAATAGTGTTATTGCCCAGCAGAAAAGTTCCTACTTGAGAATCCGAAAGGTTGCAGTTGCGAAAATCAGGACATTTGTTAATACTGAGGGAACTCTACGAAAAACTGAGTTCGTGTGATACGAAGCATAAACCAGGCAACTATCTTTCATTTCTTGGGCTTTAGTTAGATGTGCATCCCAACAGCTTTCAACAGCTCCTCCTATTTTTCCTGTAAGAATAATTCTTATAGAAGAAAATATTTGTAGAGACTGGAGTCCTTGGTGCTCCCTGAGCTTGGCTGTTTGCTTGCAGATGTTTTATTACCCAACTAGATAACATCAGTGCTAATCAGTGTGAAGTTTGCTTCTTTGGATGTACAGTGACAGTGTTGGTGGGGGTGTTATTTTCTCCTTGCTGGTTTCTTGATTAGGGTATTGTTTTCTGCTTGAATGTTTATCCGGCACTGATTCCTGCTTATCTGGGTACTGGTGGGGATGTGTCTGTTGATGGCCAATTTGTCTGCAAGCCAAGCTTCCAGGAATACTCTAGCAGTTTTGGATTTGGTTTGTTCTAAGATGCCCACAGTTTCCCAGTTGAAACTGTGGCTGAGCCTGTACCTGAGTTTAAGAAGTTTTCATGTGTCTTTTGACATAGAATTTACACACATTCAAAAGAGACAACACAGAAGAAAACAAAAAAGACCGGAACATGCCCATCACCCAGGGAAGGGCAAGCTACTTTATAAAGAAGGAACAAATCCCACACTGACTAGCATTGATGTTATGTATTTGGATAGTCTGCAAGCAAACAACCAAACTTCACAATAACTCTGTGAGTGGCAGCCAAAAGTCACTTAATTTCTATGACAGAGTCCACTAGAATCTGGTCTTCCTGGTGCCAGTGCAACACTATACCAGACACGCTACCTTGTGAACCTATCAAATGCGAACTTTATGGCTCAGTAAGCGAACTAACTCAGGTTAATTGTTAATCCATGATAAATTGGATAACATAAATTTAACATAAATTGTTAATCCATGATAAAGATCCAGGGGAGAGTCTGAAATGCGACCAAACCCACAGTGAATAATTGCCACCAGCACAGTACAGTATCAAAATAGACACCTAATTTATTAGTCTGCACAATTCCCGACTAACCTGCCGTGTCTAAGGTCCCTGCTCAGCCTGTGCCTCTAGTCCCTCCGACAAGTGAGGGAAGAGGCAGTGGAGGGAAAGCACTTTATCTACCCTTTCCTTTTCAGTAAAAGAATAATGCAACCCCGACATTACTGTTCAATCCTCCCTACTTCTTAAAGGCGCTCTCCCTTCCCTTTACAACTAAGTCCCCTCCTTAGGACTGTCCCACCTCCGCCAGACTGAAAAACATACAGCATATAAAAAAAAGATCTGCTGTAATTTTTGTCTCCCGCTACCCGAGTAACCCCCGGAGAACTGAAAAGGGAAAAAGCGGCTTGTAAAGAAGATTCCAGGTGGCGTCACAAATCTTTGCAAGTTTCCCTTCGTTACAGGCCAATTCTTAGACAGCAATGCCGAGGACCAGATGCGATAGCTACGCCCTGCTGAGTTTTAAAGGGATGGCGGAGGAAATTGCTTTAAGCAACGGGAGAGAAAAGGAAGAGCGGTGCGCGGTGGGCTGAGATAACTGCTGCATCTTTTAAGGGCTAGCAGATTTTGCTACTTTGAGTTAACACACACACACACAGAGAGAGAGAGAGAGAGAGTTGGATAACGCTATTAAGACCAACCCAAAGGGCACAAACTGCTAATGATATACGAGCTTTTTGAACATTACAGAATCTCTTCTGTGTCTGAAGAGTTCTGGAGTGCAAACTCTTTCACACCGCGCGCTCTTTCACACCGTTGAGGTGATCCGCATTAAAATAGGCGGAAACGGCTATCATTTGGGCTCCTAAAGGTTCGCGACTCGAGTCTCAGAGTTAAACTCCTCCGCCTAAACGCGGAAGTGGTGTTCCTAACGTGAAAAGGGACGCTCCGTGCCTCCAAGAACCTGCAAACGAATTCCTACAGCGCCATTTGCTCCTCCCAGCGGGGTTTTTTGGGAGCGGGGGGGGGGGGTTTAATCTCCGGTTTCGGCGCCTCTTCACAAGGAGCTCCGCATCCCTAAGCGGTTCCAGAAAGCAGAGCGGGAGATTTCAATCCGCGGGGGCGGCTGCAGCGGAAGCCGGACTGAGCTACGGCAAGATCGGCGAGTCAACCACGCCAAGAGTGGAACACGCTGCTTTTATCCGCCTTGAACAGCGCCTTCCTTCCAGTAGGCAACCGCCGTGTGTCCAGCGCGGATCTGGCTGGCTGGACAGCAGCTTCTCGCTGCGAGGCATCCTGTCCAACCCTCTCCTTTCTTGCGCCCCTCGGCCGCGAGCTCGCCCTCCCTCGTCACTACGGAAAAAGAGCAGGCCGGAGTTTTAATTAATAATCTGACCATAGGGCAGAAAAATTGCAACTTCCAGCAGTGCTGGATGAGACCCCCGCGGGAAGCCCTCTGCTTGCCGGCCTGGCCCCTTAACTTCCCGACGAACGCCGCTACGTGGAACGCTCCAGTAAACCGCCAAAAAGTCGCGCGGTGTTCCTCTTAGGTGCAGCGCTGCCTTATCCCGGGAATAGTTTTCTCAAAGGAAAACGAAATGGCTGGGATCTGTCCTTGCTGAGCTTTACAGCAGAAGCTGGGATGTCTTATGTTGCCAAAAAGTGTGGCATCCAGTTACAGCCTCCATCTATCGTCTTGATCTATGAAGATCAGGTTAAGAAGAATCTGCGCAAGCGCATCATGCCTGTCCGGAATTTTACCAAATTCTCAGGTACAATATGATATATTTCAAACTTATCACTGGTATTTTCTCATACACATATCATGTTCTGTGCCCATTTTTTCTGCATTCATTTTTTCATTGACTTCCCATATTTTGGTCACTTCATTTTATAAATTTGATTTTATTATCTATATAAGAGACAGGTATATTAAGACAGGCATATTAAGACAGTAAGAATGTACATAGTATGACCACATTTCTAAAACAAATTAGCCGTTTAAATTCGTAGAGCATTAGGACTGACCTAGCTTGATCTCAATACATCTGGGCAATTAATTCTAAAGGTTTGGGAACAATTTAGAAAGGTGCTTCATGAAACAACTATCTGTTGCTCAAGACTGGCAAGTCTTTTCAAAGCCGCAGGGCTGTTGCTGTAACAACTTCCCATGGGCCTGTTCCCAATTTTGACATCTTTGCTTTACAAAACATTGAGTATTTACAAAACATTGAAATAATTCCAGAATTCCAGAATTTATGTTGTATCAATGTAGATCTTAAAGTATGCTGCCATGGCCATGTGTTATATCCAGGGGTGGGATTCAATTTTTTTAACAACCGATTCTGTGGGTGTGGCTTGGTAATGTGACTGGCTGGGCGTGGCCAACTCAACATCGAGGCACGCATCTCCTCACCTGGCCTCTCATGACTGGGGATGCTGCAATAGTAAGTGTGAAAAATGGTCATAAATCACTTTTTTCAGTGCCATTGTAACTTTGAGTGGTCACTCCACACAAGCAAAGTACCAGCAAAGGAGGGGGAAAAACTCCAGAGAAGTTCCAGAGACAGGAAGTCTAGTCCTGCCAAGAATGTAATAAGGGTTAACGGAGAGGCAGTTTCTGTAAGCAACACCAGAATGTTTCCTTCCCGCCTTCCTTACAGGATTAGGTCAGTAATTTCTTCTAACAACCGGTTCTCTGAACTGTTTAGAATGTTAACAACCAGTTCTAGCGAATAGGTGCGAACCTGTAGAATCCCACCCCTGGTTATATCTTATAAACACAAATGGTGAGAGGGAAATAGTGAGAGGGAAATAGGCTTCAAGTTTGTTTTATTTAAAACCTTTCTAATGCACATTTCCAAAATTACTTTAGAGATTTTTAGAAGTATAATCATTATTTTGACCTTTCATACAGATTGCAGCAGAGTGGCAGAGCAGCTGAAGAATAATCCTCGGCACAAAGCATATTTAGAAGGGGTATCCTTGGAGCAGCTAAAAAAGTTACACCACTTGTTGAGATGCCATCTGCAAGGACAAACTTTGAGTCAGAGTTTGAAACAAGTTGAGCAGAATGAATCAGTTGATCCAGAAGAGGACCTAAATAAACTGAACGATGAAGAGCTAGCACAAAAGAAAAGAATTATGGATGAGTTGTTTGAAAAGAACAGAAAAAGAAAAGAGGACCCAGGTTTTATCTACAATGTAGAGGTGGAATTTCCACAAGATAAGGAGCTTGAAGCTTGTGAGTGGGATACAGAAACAGAGGATGAATTTTAATGCAAAACTAAGCTTATGGGACTGCTAATAAATTATATATACTTTCTGCTTTAGTAACAATATTTGACTAAAGTTGTCAATAAACGATAGCATTGTGTACTGTCAAAATGATTGACATGTTTTTCTTTGCTTGGCATTTAAAATACTCTGAAATATTCATATTAAAATTGTATGCAAAAATGTGTGTATAGAGTATGAATGTCTTGAGTAGAAAATCTGTATTGGTTCTTGTATTGATACGGAAAATATCCATTAAATAAGCGTTGACTTAAATAAAATGTATGCAGACAGAGGGGCCAGAATAGCAGCTGCCCTTTTCTCCATTGCAGAAGCACAAAATGGCACCAACTATATGTGAATTGGCATAGTGCATGATCCAACACAATATTCCTGAAATGGAGGTTTGTTTAACCCAGGAACTAAGCAAAATTGCTAAAAACAAAAGGAGATGCAGCACTAGAGAACCAACTACATGAAAGCCCGTCTCCTGCAAGCATTCATATTCAAAATAGACATGTTTGCAGAAGGTGTGTGAATTGCATCAATGAGGTAAAACTTATTTGGCAAGATCTATTGTGAGAACTCCAGATTTAAAAAGGCTTCCTCAACCAGGAATTTTCTAAATAAAGGAAATGTCTAAAGTAAATATTCAGAAGAACTAAAATCAGTTTTAAAAAAAATAGTTCATTCTTAAACCCAATTCTTCCACCTCCCGCATAAATTTCTGCTTTTGAAATTCCATTTGTGACATATTCAGTAAGTTTTGGCCAGATTCCAATTCTTCATCTACACCTTGAAGAAGCAACCCATTTCAGGACACATAGGATTCTTGAATTAGAATTTTCACTTCAAGAAAGGAGATCTCATTAAAGCATTATTGGACCCCAATAGCAACTTTTTGAAGGATTGTTTTGGTATTTTAGAAGCAGTTTCCATTACTAAAATTATATTCATGTCAGCTGGAAGGAAAAAACATTTTTAGTTGTTTGCCCTAGCAGTTCCCTGTGTTGGCAGAAATGAAATGAGAACATCCACCAACTTCCTTCTGTCATGTGAATACTCAGGCTAGCTGCTAGATGGTCAGAGATATAATGACACAGGAAAGTAGTATATGTGCATAAACTATTTTGTGGTGGGAAAGACAAGTGCTTTTTATTCTCAAATAATTTATATTGGGATTACAAATACTGTATTTAGATGGAAGAAACTAATTTTAAGTGCCAAAAATTTGGTCAATAGAATTCTCAGCCATCTTATGTTAACAGTTTTTTTAATGACTTGTTATAACTGAATGGATCCTATTCAGGGGTGGGATTCAAAAATCCCAGCAACCAGTTTATTGCCCAGTTGCTGGGGGGGCATGACCATGGTGGGCATGGCCTACCAGAACTTCCGGGAAGACCGTTTTGCATCTTCCCCAAGGTCCAAAGGCTTCACTCAAGCATCTAGGAGGGCGAAAATGGCCTCTACCGAGGTCCTGAGGCCCTCTGGAAGCCGGAAACAGGCATGTTTCCGGATTTCTGGAAGGCCCACTTTTCACCCTCCCAGAGCCTCCAGGAAGATCCTGCACTTACCTGCATCCAAAACGGGCTGCATTTAGACTCCGGGGAGGGGACAAGTAGGCAGGGCCAGCCGGTCGATTCAACTACCAGTTCGGTGAACCTTATGTAAATTTAACATCTGATTCTCCCAAACCAGTCCTAACCAGCTGAATTCCACCCCTGATCCTATTCAAGAGAAGAATTGGGATTTAAATATTATGTGCATATGTATTTAAATATATATCTTTGCAGTTTATTAATGTAGGTATTTAGCAAATGTCTTGTCAGTAATAATATGTATTCAAGATTTCTTTATTTTTAATCCAGCATTTGTTCTCCAGAGGGCAGTATTTTCTCATTAAAAAATCTTGTTTGGGGAAAAATTTTGCACTTAAAAGAATTTCTGTTATTTATAAAAACAGCTTGCGATATAGAGTAATTTGGGAATAGGTTGTATTATCCTTAAGAACTATATATTCTGATGTCTAAAAAAATAGAAATAAATACATTTTAGTGACATTTTCTTGATCTGACAAAAGATTTTTTTCTAAGAAATATCAGCAATTCCTGATATTACAAAATATAATTTAGTCGATCAGCCCCTGTTTAATGAAACCTGGGTAATCAAGCATCTTTTACAAAATGGATCTCCGATAAAACATATGCTTTAATCTTCAACTGAAATTCATCTTAAATTTATTTTTTTCTGCAGATTTGACTGCATGGAATAAAGCAAGATTTAACACTATTATTATTATTTATTATTATCATCATCATCATCATCATCATCATCATCTACATGAAGCACTGGACAATATGTATACTGGTTCCAAGTGAGGTATTACCGTGTTTCTCCAACAATACGGCCTCCACCAATAGGAAGGCCCAGCATGTTTTTTGGGCATAAAATCAAATTAAGCCCCTCCCCCCAAATTTAGGCCTATTTTAAAATATGCAAAATAAGGGGGAAGGGCGGGGAGACTTGCCGTTAGGAGCGCCCGGCGGGCCGGAATTCCTCGCCACCAGCCGCTCCTAACGGGCGATCATGGCCAAGCACAGAGAGCTCCCTACTCCCACCTTTGCTGCAGACACCTTTGGCACCCGCCGCTGTTGCTTTCCCTTCTGCCCATTACGCCGCCACGTTTGGAGCTGCCGCTTCCGTGTTTGGAGTGCTGTCGCCATTTGGAGCTCCAAACGCGGAAGTGGCAGCTCCAAACATGACGGCGGGCGATCTTTTTATTTTGGTCCCCACAAAGTTCAAAGCGAGCAAGAGAGGGAGACTGCGATGCCTCCATCCGAGATGGCAACCTCACTAGTGGATCACAACGTGGCTGGAAGCCCGAATCGGCGGGATACGATGGCGATCTTTTTGGAGCGAGAGGAAAGGGAGAGAAGAGTTGCGAGGCGTAATTTGCAGGAGGAAGTGGGTGTATCCCACGGCAGGGAGCCCAAGGAAGAAGGGCTGGTAGGCAACGGAGAGCGTCCCGTAGCTCCGGAAGCAGCCTAGAGATGCGCCCAGAAAGAGGCGCAGATGCTGCCTTGTAGTCCCCAAGCCAACTGCGTGCGCCGCCTTTAGTTATGTGCGCTCCGCGCTTTGGGCATCTCCGTGTGATCGCGACCCTGTCCTTTCCACCTGGCGCCCTTGCTGCTTTCTGGCTCTTTAGCAACCGGCTTCGTGTTTGGAGCACTGCCGCCGTTTGGAGCTCCAAACGGCGGCGGAAGCTCCAAATGCGGAAGCTCCAAACATGACAGTGGGCGATCTTTTTATTTTGGTCCGCGCGAAGTTCAGAGCGAGCATGAGAGGGAGACCGCGATGCCTTGCTAAAGAGCCAGAAAGCAGCAAGGGCGCCAGGTGGAAAGGACAGGGTCGCGATCACACGGAGATGCCCAAAGCGCGGAGCGCACATAACTAAAGGTGGCGCACGCAGTTGGCTTGGGGACTACAAGGCAGCATCTGCGCCTCTTTCCGGGCGCGTCTCTAGGCTGCTTCCGGAGCTACGGGACGCTCTCCGTTGCCTACCAGCCCTTCTTCCTTGGGCTCCCTGCCGTGGGATACACCCACTTCCTCCTGCAAATTACGCCTCGCAACTCTTCTCTCCCTTTCCTCTCGCTCCAAAAAGATCGCCATCGTATCCCGCCGATTCGGGCTTCCAGCCACGTTGTGATCCACTAGTGAGGTTGCCATCTCGGATGGAGGCATCGCAGTCTCCCTCTCTTGCTCGCTTTGAACTTTGCGCGGACCAAAATAAAAAGATCGCCCGCCGTCATGTTTGGAGCTGCCACTTCCGCGTTTGGAGCTCCAAATGGCGACGGCACTCCAAACACGGAAGCGGCAGCTCCAAACGTGGCGGCGTAATGGGCAGAAGGGAAAGCAACAGCGGCGGGTGCCAAAGGTGTCTGCAGCAAAGGTGGGAGTAGGGAGCTCTCTGTGCTTGGCCATGATCGCCCGTTAGGAGCGGCTGTTGGCGAGGATGCAAGGGGGGGAATTAAGTCACCCCCCGAAAAGACGGCCTAGCCGTTTTTTCGGGGCTCAAAAAAAAATAAGGCCCGGCCTTATTATGTGAGAAACACGGTATCTATAATGTAGTATTATACTTTTGCTAATCCAATTAGCTTTTTAAAGTCTTAGATTACTATTATTGGAAACTGTACTTATAGAAGTATGCTACAGTACAATTAATTCAATTAAATATATTCCATGAAGTCTTTATAGCCAATTTTCAGCAGTGAGCAGAGGATACTTCACAAGAAACAATAGCTGTATTTAATGGAACAGAACACCACTTAGATTTCAAATTCTTCACAAAGCTGTACAAAAAACATAGCGTTCACCACAATCATTACGAGTTTGTGTGCTTTCACATACTTTCTACGCAGCCCATTTGTGGCAAAAATGAGAATGAAGCCTTCTTATTGCAGAGATGGGATGGGTTTATTTGCATTATCACATTTGATTTGTATCATTTGAGTCTTGTGCATTAATGCCTAGAACTCTTAACACTTTATATCCCTTGTCTTTTGCCATAGATCTTTAGTTTTAAGAACAGACTACATACCGTACATACCGTGTTTCTCATATAATAAGGCTGGGTCTTATTTTCTTTTGAGCCGTGAAAAAAATGACTAGGCCGTCTTTTGGGGGGTGACTTAATTCTCCCCCCCTTGCATCTTCGGGTGGGCGGCGATGGCTTGAATGTTGACCTCGGCGTTGGTGGGGCACTTCGTATCAGGGTCAACGCAGGCAGCACCATATCCAGGTGTGCAACAAAAGTACTTCCTAACGGCAAGCGCCCCCCACCATTCCCCCCCATTTCGCATGTTTTAATATAGGCCTTAATTTGGGGGGGAGGGGCTTAATTTCATTTCATGCCTATAAAACATGCTGGGACTTCCTATTGGGGGAGGCCGTATTGTTGGAGAAACAGGGTATGTTTGCAGAAGGCGTATAATACTATCCAGCCATTCTTTACCCACCATCCTTGATTTTATAATATTCTTATTAGGTAAATACCTTTATAATTTCTGTAATATCCCACTCCTCAATTATCATATCACACCATTAGCTTTGATTCTTCTCCAATACTCAGAACTAAAGTTGATTTTATTCGAACCAAAAGCAACCAGTTAATCTTTCTTGTTCCTATATATGGCATAACAAATTAGCATATCTGTTTTACAAGAAAAAAAAACCAGCATTATTCTTCTGAAGAAAAATCAATACTTTTCAGTTGCATTATTTCACAGTTACTAAGAAATGGGTAAAGTCAAGAAAAAAAACAAATTGTTCTCTTCCTTATACTGGGATTTATTTCTTAGTAATGAGAAACATGACCCCAGATTTCAGAAATAAAAGATGAACTAAGATGCATCTATGCATCTTCCGGATATGTATTCATCAGAATAAGAGTTGAGGTTTACTCAGCATGTGGTTTTCCTGCGAGGAAATCTCTACCACAGGAAGGCCTCAAAGGCCACATTTACTGAAAGCTTATTTGCTTTCCTCAGACAATGGCAGTTTAATACTTTGCCACAACACCAACTGCTGGCATTACACCTCAATAGGAAAAGTCTCACAGAAAACATGTACTGTAAATCTATCTGTTCTTCATTTGATAATCTTCATAAGGCAAACTTGGCACTTCTTTGAAAATTGTTGTTTTGTCAGTCAGAATTCAGGTCACCCAAATGAACCCATTTAGCTATATAGATGACAGTATTTTTCAGCTGGGACAAACTTTACTATAAGCAGTTCAGTCATATTTTTCTTGACTACCTTGTAGTTCAGTTGCTGCAATCATATTTATTTATTTATTTTATGTAACCCCCTAAATCACGCACATGAATCTAGGCAGCCGACAATAAAATAGATAAAACACATAATATAAAAATTAAAAACACAGCAGCCAAGCAATACAAATGATCATCAACAGGTGCAGAGGCGTTCCAGTGCACCTCCTGCAAGCTGCACTCTCCCAGTCACTTCAGCAGCTGTCATGCGGCACTCTGCTCTGCCGCACAAAGCAGCTGTGCTTCAAAATCAGAGGATAAAGGTGAGTATGCGAGCCGGGATGGGTGCGTGGGCCCAACAGCAGTGAGGCAGAGACAACTGGTTTGGTCTCCGCTGCTCATTGCCGCTACCGGCTCGGCAGAACCAGTAGAATACCACCACTGATGTAAACCATTACTACAAGTTACAGCTTATTAGAACAAAATATGTGACTGCAAATGTAACTTTCTAAGCATATTATTGAGTACTATTAGATTAGATTGTTTCTTTCTGCCACCAAATTTCAGTATGGCCTGTGTTTCTTATGCCTGCTCTTTAGCATCGGAAGAATTTTTTCCCTGTAAATTAAAAAGATGATGATAAAAGTAAACAGCAGGGTCAAACAGGTAGGAAGAATAAGCACCAGATACAACAAAGCCATGTTAGTTGTTAGCCACCTACAGTCTTGGTGAACTGATTCAGGTATATTTGTTGCACTGATGAATCTGGAGGAGTAATTACAAGTGATGTCAGTCATGTCTCCAATGTGTATGCTTCCATGGCTTTTCAGAGTATCCCACCAACCCATTTTGCAACAGTCATAAGGATTCTCACTGAGGTAAATCACACGCAAACTCTTTCCAAGTTGCTTTTCCATGAAGTATTGAGGTAGGGTATGGTAGAAATTCATCCTGAGATCTAGAGTATAAAGTTTAAGGTCTATTAAGGATTCTGGGAAGTATGCCAAACTGTTTCCAGACAGATCCAAATTTACCAGTTTCTGAAATGCAGAAAAGTCCATCTCTGTGCCTGTAGCAGAGAGGCCAGTATTTCTAAGATAGAGTACCTGTATGGATGACGTGATATCTTTCAGAGTTCGCAAACCACTAATAAGCAACCTAGGATTATTAGAAAGATCTAAATATGTAAGGGAAGTCCCCTTAAAGAAATGGCAGGACAACGTGCTTAGGTTACAGCCAGACAATACAAGATTCCTTAAAGAATTAGCATAAGTAAACGTTACACAATCAGAGCTTGTAGCACTATATGGATAACAGATTTGGATTGGGTTTTTACTGATGTCAATTGTAGTGATTTTTCTTACATGAATAAAGAATTGATATGGCAAGCCATGTAGATTGTTGGTGCTAAGATTAAACTTTCTGAGGTTGGTTAAGCTGCCTTCAGAACCCAAATTCATCTGTAGCTTTGAAAGCAGGTTGTGGCTGAAATCCAAGTCAATCAGAGTACTTAGAATTTCCCTGTGCTCTATGTTCAGTGTCTTTAAGCAGTTGTGACTGAGGTTCAGATAAAGAAGGGAAATTAACCCTTTAAAAAAGTGATCTGGAAAATAAGATAACTCATTCCAGCTCATATCCAGAAATGTTAAAGAAGAGAGATTGCCATGATTGTTTTCTTCCCAAAGTTCTTGGCTGGTGATGTTAATGATATTGCCATCTAGGAATAGTAGCTGAACTGAGCTGTTTGAATTATTGAAAAATTTGCCATAGAAATTCATGTGGTTGTGTGTCAGCAGCAGAGTCTGCAATTTATTTAAGTTGGGCAGTAGTGGGAAGAACAGAAGCTGGTTGTAGGAAAGATCTAGTGTTTCCAGTTCAAAAGAAGCATTATTTTCTGCAGACAAGAACCATTCAATGTGATTATTGCTAACATTTAACATCCGAAGTTGGATCAGATCAAACTGCACAATGCAAGGTATGTTGTTGTAGGCCAGGTTAAGCTGTTGCAGAGCTGGCATGTTTTCAAACGCTCCAGCCTCAATTTCAAAGATATAGTTCTGCTGTAAATCCAGATATTGCAGATTGGGCAGATTTCTGAAGTGATAGTCATCTAACCTCATGATGACATTCCTTGCTAAAGACAAGGATTCTAGAGAAGACAAATGCTGAATCAATCTGCCCATCATAAGCTCAGTAAGCTGGTTTCCAGAGAGGTCCAGTTTTCTCAGGTAAGTCAACGTACGTAAAGCAGATGATGTTACAGAATAATTGAGGGAGAGGAAATTGTCTGACACGGTTAGCAGACTAAGATTCCTAATGCCAAGAAATGCCCCAGGTTCGATGAGCTCCAACCTATTTGCATGCAGACTGAGGTTCTGTAGGACATGATATTGTATGAATGATGCATTTGAAAGAGTTTGTAGAACGTTGGCATCCAGGAAGAGTTCCTCTATCCCAGAAGGCAAGTCTTCTAGGACAGAACTCAGCCTCCTCCCATTGCAATCTGCACGTCTCTCTTTCTGTAGCAAGAAACATACAGGAAATGATGAGGTCAGATACTAAAGGTATGCTATATTATACCATACTATAATGCCATATACATACTTAAGTAGAATTAAATTTAGAGGAAAATATATTTAATTTGATCTCATCTGTTGAGTTCCTACATAGAGATGAAGATGATGATAATTATAATAATAATATTTGTGATACATTTTTAAATATTCAGTTGACCGAGTTTCACATTTAATAAATAAAAGAAATAATAATAATATCTATAATAACAATAATATCTATAATAAGAATATAGTAATTTTTCCATATTGTTCAAGGTTGATTGGCTGTTCAAAATATAGTTTACAGTTTACAATAAGGGGTAATATGCTGAATGAAGCCTGCCATATTACCCCATACTGTAAACTGTAAAATGTTTTTGAACACCTAAGGAACCATGAACAATGTGGAAAAATTACTGTATTATTATTATAGATTATTATAATTATCATCATCATCATTATTTTTATATTAGTAGCACCAGTTTGGTCTAGGGTTAAGGCACTAGGATGGAAACCAGGAGACTGAGTTCTATTCCAGCCTTAGATACGAAAACCAGATGGGTGACTTTGGGCAAGTCACTCTGTCTTCACCTAACCTATGTCACAAGGTAGTTATTGTATGTTGTGGGGAGAAGGTATTAGCTATGGTTGTGCAATTTTGAGTTACTTTTATAAAATATAAAAGGCAGTTGCTTAATGAGGGCTACCTGTAGAAGCAACAGGAAGTGTTTCTGGATAGCAAGTTCACCATGAGATAAATAGTTTGTGTGTGTTTGTGTGTGTGTGTAGTTTATTTATTATTTACACACACACACACACACACACACACACACACACACACACAAAATAATAAATTTATCTCATGGTGAACTTCCTAGCCAGAAAACACTTCGTGGCCTTTTGCTTCTACAGGTAGCCCTCATTTAGCAACTGCCTTGTACAAAGAACATTCTTAGTTAAAATGGTAATGAAAATTTCACTTTGAAACCAATCCTCTCATTTACAACTTTTGAAAGTCTGCAAAGCAAAAGAAAGATGAAATAAGATCATAAGTACAGTCACAGTTTCACTTAGAGACTGCCTCGCTTAACAATTGACTTTCTGGTCCCAACTGTGATTGATAAACAAGAACTATCTGTATTACCATATTGTTACTAGTATTATGTTCCATGTGACATTTTTGTATGGATTTCACTATAGAAAAGTATGTCCACAAGTAGTTGACTAGATGCAGCTTCAAGGCATGGTTTAATTGATTTTCCAGTACATTGCCAATTGTTGAATTTTGTGATCTTTTCCAATTCCATAATTCTATGATTCTTTTAGAACAAGAGATAGTTTCTGCATGAACTGGATGAGATGATGGTGCTCAAGCAGAAAAGTAACAGGAAGTATAAAAAAAGTACTAAGATGGACCAAATTTTGCTGGACGATATAAAAGTGGATGGCAACTCTATAACTTCAAATAATTATATATAATGAGGTGCTATGCGTATTGTGTTTTATGCCTGGATTCACCTGGAACTAAATCCTTGTCTAGATGAGTTTTCAGTTGTTGTGCCTCTATATACATGAAAAGGAGTGTGTGATTTTATTTAGAGGATAAAAATAATAGTTGTAAATATGCATTTGTTACTACATATTGTGAATAAGCAGCCCCAGGAATTCTAAAATACCCCCTTTAAAATGCTCTGTGTGATACTACTGTAGCAAATGAAATCAAATGTTGATTTTGTGAGATAATGCTCAATATATAGCATAGCATATCTGATTTGATAAGAATGTATGTGTTGTGTGTTTGTGTGTGTATGTGTGTGTATTTTCTATGCCTTAACTATAAAACCTTGACATTGCATGCTTATGTAAGTAATCATGATTTTTGTGAGTTTTTTACATATCAACATCTATAGCAGGGTAACTCAAGGAAAACTGCTAATAAATGTGACAAGAAATCATTGTACTTTGTTTTTTCAAACTTTTCCACCTGTAACTATTTTCCATGATAGCAATTAATGACTTTACAGTTATTGCTTAATTCAATTTCCCAGTAGCATAATTATCATGGGAAAGTGACTAGTAACTATTCAGTCATAGATTCTCCTTTTATGTATACAGTAATAGTGTACTTTGCCATCCAAACCTTAGTTAAGCATATTGGGACCCTTCACCGTATAGTACATGCAACCATTCCACCAGTAATAGGTAAGTTATAGGAACAGAAAAAAGAATGTGAGCGTTGACTGATTGGCCCCATCCACATTAACTATTCATGAGAGTTGGCTAAATTGGGGTGGATCAGGGACTCAATTAGTATGTTATATTATATTAAGCTCTCCCTACATTATAATATGAACACATACATTAGAATTTTTTAAAAAAATATCTCAGATTAAAATATAGTTTTGGAAATGCACTCTTATTATAAGAAAGCAGCAATAGCAGCTGCTTCTCTATTGGACTAGGATGGTGAGGAAAAAACAATGATGGATTGATCTCAAAGGTGCTTTTTCAAAAAGCAACTGGACTTTGTTTTCCTTGAAGATGTTTTGCTTCTCATTCAAGAAGCCTCTTCAGTTGTATAAATCAGTTATAAATCCTTCCATTCAGCCAGAACTGAAGAAGCTTCTTGGATGAGAAACAAAATGCCTTCAAAATCCAGTTGCCTTTTTAAAAAGCACCTTTGGGACAACCATGACCAGAATGACTGAGAATCTCCATAGATAATGATGGATCTATGTAACTAAAAGAAATAGGGAACCAGATGTCTTTCAGATTTTTGTTGAAATACCTATTTTAAATCACCTTTCCCTTCTCTGTACCCCGCTCAAAAATATAAAATTCAAATCATAAAGAAACAAATTGTAGTTTTAGAGAACATCTGCAAAATGAAAAGATAAATAAAACAGTTGAACATTTAATATGGTAGGTTAATTTTTTGATTCTTCTTAGCATTTGGATCAAACCCTTGGAACTAATATGCTGCTGCAGCCACTAGCATTTAAATAAATAATCTCTCTTCTTCCCATTTTTTTCAAGAAATCCCAAAGTTATTTCATGTTTGCACAAGACTCACTAGTTTGCAAATACTATGATAGGTTGTGGGTTCTGTTGCCCATCCTGTATCCAGAAAAGCTATGCATATGGAGATAATCACAGCAATTAATGCCATTTCAACAGGACTCCTGCAAAGAGAGAAAAAATAAAATAATAAAATAAAATTAGGAGATTTGGATTGTCTTTTCTTATTTATAGAGTTGGGTTGCCCACTAGAAAACATCAGTTCCATACTTTCTTCAAACGTATTCAGACAAAAGGAATATTCATATTCATATCTGTTTACTTACAAACATTTCTTAGGTTTTCATTGTGAATATTTTTTTTCTTTGCAAAATACATGTCAGCTCCCATAGGCACCTCTACAATTCTGCTTTGGTTTGCATTCATATATAAAATGTGAAGACCTATTCATTTATTTGATTTATATCCCATCTTTTATGTAGAACTTAAGGTGGCATATATGATGCTACCTCCTTCTATTTTTCCCACAAAGGCAACCCTGTGAGGTAGCCAGGATTAAGAGATAGTGACTGTAGTCACCCAACTACAGTTGCTTCTGTGCCTTAGAATTTGCAATCTCCTGGTTTCTAATCCAGCACCTTAACTACTACATTAAACTAGCTCTTTATGAGTTTTAAGAATTAAAGGAGGTTTGAAAAAGTCTCTCCTTTTCAATATCGATCTGCTTAAGACTTCCCTAATATAGGCAATGTCCTTATGGGTCAGAGGTGGTATTCAGCAGGTTCTGACCAGTTCTGGAGAACCGGTAGCAAAAATTTTGAGTAGTTCAGAGAACTGGCAAATACCACCTCTGACTGGAGATTTTAAAATATCCTTCCCCTGCCATGTTCACCAAGCCATGCCCACAGAACTGGTAGTAAAAAAAATTGAATCCCACCACTGTTATGGATGGACTTTAACTTCCAGAACTCTGCAGCCACTGTCACCATTGCTCGTGTTTCTGAGTGTTGAAGTTTATACATCTGTGGATGGCTGGTCTACATACAGGTAGGTCTCAACTTACAGGCTTTCAGCCTTTCATTTAGTGACTGCTGGAAGTTACAATGGCACTGAAAAAAGGGACTTATGACCATTTTTCACACTTATGACCATTGCAGCATTCCCACAGTACTGATTAAAATCCGGATGCTTGGCAATTGGCGTGTATTTATGATGGCTGCAGTATCCCAGGATGATGTCATCACCTTTTGATATCTTCTGACAAGCAAAGTCAATGGGGAAGCTAGATTCACTTAACAGCTATGTTACTAATTTAACAACCGCCGTGATTCACTTAACAACTATGGCAAATAGGTTGTAAAATGGGGCAAAACTCACTTAACAACTGTCTGAAACTTGGGGCTCAATTATGGTTGTAAGATGAGAACAATCTGTACTTGCTTATTTTACGTTATTATCACTTCTGATGAAACAGATTTGTAAAATCTTTTTGCTGAAAATAAAAGTGAGGAATACACCTATAATAATAACTGAAAAAATCTGCCTCTGTATGACATTTTTAGCCAAATATGTGATGCCAGAGATTTATAATAAAACTAAATGTGTTCTTTTCATTGGAAGATATTTGTAGAGACAGAGCTTTGGTTGCTGGAGGAGGCAGGGGAAAAATTAACAATTTTTTCTCTGTCATTTCTGAATCAAAATTCCCCTATTCCTTAAATTATTTTAACCATTTTATCTTTTTCTCCTATCTTTTTCAGCTACAAAACACTGAAATGTTGAGATAAAAAGATTTCTGAAAAGCCCTATCCATTCACAAAATGGCTTCTGCAAAGGGCATGATCAATTATATATCATCAGTTTGTTAGAGTGACACCTGTCTCTTCACAAGATGCTATAAACTGTCCTTTTTCTAGCTGGTGAGTTTCTCTTTTCCTTTCTACTAGTGGCCAGCAAAGTAAACTCCCATCCTGCTTGTTTATGCTTTTTTCTTAGCTATTGTGTTTGTTTGTTTGTTTGTTTGAATGATATTCTCATCTTTCATTTAGGGGTTAAAGGAAATGTTCATTGTGTTTCCTCTTTCTGTTTTTCCACCCAATGACATTGTGAGATAGGCTAGGCTGAAAGTAAGTGACTGGCCAAGGTTTTTATTTCAGACTTTATCTGCCATGCATGCATCCTGCATTCCTCAATTAATTCTTCTACATTTGATTCTTATAAATTACTCAGAGAAGCCAACATATCCCACTTTAGAATAAATTTGACTCTCAAGAACAATTCAGGGACCCAACTAAGTAACCTACAGAACAACAGAAAGACAAAATTAGATAGATAGATAGATAGATAGATAGATAGATAGATAGATATAGATATAGATATAGATATAGATATAGATATAGATATAGA